ACTACATACTGTTGCGGGGTCTGGGGGTCCTCCTCCAGAAAATTTTGAGTAGATGCCATTTCCTGCGTTCTGGTGTATTTTACCAGGCTGTTTAACATACTTTTACCTACATAAATAAACACTTGATTTAATAATTATTTCAGAGACAGATTATTTATTAATCTAGTTCCATCATTCTGTTTTTAAACTCACTGCTACAGCGGAGAAAAGGTTAATTAAAGTGACACACTATCATGTCCAATGACTTTAGGGATGCTTTTTACTTTTATATTGTTTATTGATTCATTTTTAATTGTAACGTGTCGTGCCAAATAATGATGACCTTCAACTGCATGTTTAAAACTAATATTAATAACTTTACCCTATGAACAGGTGCAATATTGATGACCACCAACAGTGAATTTAGAGGGGTGTTTCACTTTTTATGATTTAATGATAGGCCTACTCAGAACCAAAAGAAACAGGGCATCATGCAGCCTTCAGAACATAAAATGAATGAATAAATAAATAACAAATAAAATAAAAAAACATTTGTGATGGACTTGCGACCTGTCCAGGGTGTATACCGCCCCTCGCACTGTGACTGCTGGATATGGGCACCAGTGACCCACGTGACCCTGAAAAGGAAGAAGCGTGTACAGAAAATGGATGGATGGATAAAAAACATTTGTCACCATAAGTCCAAAAGTTGACACCATAAGTCAGATTACATAGACATATGGGGCCTTTCCCAATCAGTGGCTACACCTTCGCCCTACTCCCTACTCACTCAGTTTGTGTGTTCCCGCGGAGGGTTGGCCATATTAAGTCCCATCTGAAACCAATTAGGTACAAGGGCGAGTGGCTTATTAAGCCCTCCACAGCGAGTCTACATCCAGTTCAGACTGGAGCAGCAGGTGCAGCATCAAATAGTGGTCCACATGGAGCACGGGACGTATAAATATAAGTTCCACATATGTTTTGTACAAATATTTACTAAGTAAACACCTTACCAACAAATATAATTTCACGAAGACTATATAAATCATGTTCAGTTCAAACTTTATTAAAGACACAGAACCCTGGTCTATGTTTAAAAAAGAAGAAAGGGAACATTTTAAAAAATAAAGAAAAAATAAATTATTTTAAAAAATGTTAACAGTGCTAATATTTTGACAAGTTATCACACTGTTTGTTACAAATACAGTCATATCTGAAAACTCTTTAAAATGTGGGCCTAATTAAATATTTTCTTTGGTCTTTTTTAAAAGAGTGTTTGTTCTCCTGCATTCAGTCGCTGCCAGAGGTTGGACTGTTACCATGGTGACGACAGCTTCCTGTTCCGGTGGTGTGAGGAGAGCCCGTCTCAAAAGAGGAGGGTGTATAATTAGACCTCACAGCACCATCAAGGGGACTCAGTTCACTGTGAGGGGGCTTCACAGTGAGTGTAGTTTGTAGGGAGTAGGGGGAGTGTGTAGCCACTGATTGAGAAAGGCCCATGTACTGTAAATGAAAACCATCACTTCCTTGACATTACTCTTCTTCAGTGATAAGAGTTTGGTGATGTTTCAAACTGTTAAACACTGCCACCAACTGTTCAGGAGGATTATTACACTCCTAAAGGTTGTTTCACTCTGGAAGGGGTGTGTACAGCAGGGTGGCCAAAGATTTGTCTGTGGTGGCCATGGCCACCCCCCTGGCTCCGCCCCCGAGTATTTAAAGTGCCTGTGATGTCAAATTTTTGTTATACACATGAATGCATTTTTAGAAAGAGGATATTGATAAAATATTGCAAAAGAAATTTCATGCCACTGAGATGAACAGTTGTTGAGATTTTCCTGTGAAATAACAGGAAGCAAAGGGGAATGTCTGCATGTGCAACATCCCAGACTGTAGAGAAGAATCTGATGTTTCTTTAGATTATTTTGAGTCACTATCAGAGAGATGAAGAGTCAGAGTTCAGATAATATTGTTTCAATAAACAAAGACCAGAGAGTTTTCTTTGTTGAAGACTTCCCCTTTGATGTCACTTCCTGTTTCACTTTGGCTGAGCCAAGTTCAAAAGAAAATATGCCAGTTATGGGACAAAATGGGTTAAATCGTGAGTATTATTCCAACTTTCTTAAATATAAAGATGTTTTCTTTGACTTTTTGTGTTTGAAGAATATGCATGTCACAGGTACTTTAAGATAGAGTTCTGACTGGGGGCATTGTACAAGAAGGGATGTCAGTGGGATGTGGAAATGAACGTATAAATCAGCCTTAAAGTGGTGAAGAAAAAACAACAGATGCATAAACTTGATTTTATTTAGTATTGGGGGAATAAGGTAACAAAAATAACTGTGTTTACCTGTTTCCAACTTTTTAGCAGTGGGGAAAAAAGATCATGAGCTACAGTACAGAACTGGCCTAAGGACAATTTGCCTTTTGTGTGATTCAGAGGGGGCTACCAGTCCATGATAGTCTTTGAATTTTTACTTCATAGATCTTTTCAAATAAAGTTCTTTCATTCTGTTTTATGGGATCAAAATGTTGCCTGAAGCTAAAGAGACCTTGCRTTTGCCAATGAGGATCACTAACAGCAACAGGTGCATTACACGGGCCATAAACTCCTCTGTGGTGAGAGGAAGTGTAACAGACAYACGGCCACACCACTCACCGGCCAGTTATCCCTGCCTGCACTGAACTACCCCCGCCCTTTAGACCTTTTTAGGCCCAGAACCCGACACTCCAGCCGGAGGTTCTCATACTTATTGGGGTGCTGTCACGTGTGCCACTTTTGACCAGGAAAGGGAGCACCGGCCCAGCAGGGTCTTCTGTTAGTGGGAGCACCACCTCCGCACAGCCACCTCTCACCAGTGGAGTCTGGTCTCTGCAGCCCCTGACTGTCTCTCCCCCCCTTCGTCTCAAGGAGGTTGTAGCCCTCACGTTGTCTCTATTGCTGATTTTTTTTGTTTTGTTTTTCCACTAAAAGCTAAGGAGGACTTGTGAAGTCCTGACAGGYGGAACGATGACAGCGGTTGAAACCCAAATGACATATAGCAACTCCTATACGGTCCACCATGAAGAAACGTACATGACCCAGGAGGAAGACTGGGACAGGGACCTGCTCCTGGACCCYGCCTGGGAGAAGCAGCAGAGGAAGGTAGGTTTAGTTATGGAGGATCTGAGCTTTTGCTGCTGTGCATAGATGTGCACAGATCTACCAAAACACGTACATGTATGAACAGCTTTTCAGAGCAATGTAATTCAACTAACTCCGTTACTTTTGCTTTAAAATTCTGTAACAACCCAATAAAAACTGGGCATCTGTCTTAGTTGTCCTCAACACCTGGCCCCTCAGTCCTGCTGGAAGCTGYGTGGGCAGATATTTTAGGCCGTGGAACTTTCTCAGTGTTGTCTTTCAGTTACCCCCTGATTGCCTTGCAGACTAAATATAATACTGCCCTCCCCATTCTTTTTCTGACATTTAAGTCTTAACCTGAAATTTATACACGAGTTTGTCAACTTCTTAAATGAACTTAATTCATCCCAATAGAAAAAGAAAAGCTATAAAAATATCCTCGTTCAAAAAGTGGGTGTATAGCCTAATTTTAGAAAGCAAGAATAAACACACCTACAAAACAAATCTAATTTTTAAGCTTTTAAAACTGAAYAATAGACTAAATGAACAAATATATRCATTAATAAYGTTGCATTTAAAYAATYTGACWCAGGTATCTGARCTACAGAGCTAGCTCAGGTGAGKACCTGACCYTTRCAATGTGGGCTAATTGAAAGTTAGTCAAACAGGTGTGCTTGATGAGCTCCCACTCAACCTGAAGGGACAGGTGACACGGTAAACAAGACCTAAACAACTAAGGCTAGTTCAACTTACTTTAAAAAATACTTACTCAATACAAAAGTTATTTAGCTTCTAATGTGTTTTAGGGGCCAATAAATATAGTTTACTTTATTCCTTGTTTTTGTATTAGCCTATCGCTGCTAACCGGCCGCCATATTGGATGAATTATTTTCATAGGAGGGACCACAGCCTTCATCTGGCTCAGGATTCCTGGAGTCCAAGTCAAAAATAGCTTCTTGGTAAATCAATCATTGTTTTCAAAACTATTTCGGAACAGCTATTTATCAACACATTTTTTAATAGATATAAAAGTTTACAAAGTGTTTAAGGCATAATTTGGCTTAAAATTGATCATTAATTTCAAAGCCTTTTAATTAGTGGAATGTTATAAGAATTACAGAGAAATTTAACGATGTTTAAAGCCTTTATACAGTTCCTTTAGAATTTGCACATGATGCAACCACAAATAGGTTTTGTTTACAAATGCTGTTGAAACTAGTTTCTCATTCACTGGGTGGCTAATAAAAATAAATAAAATAGCCATTTGGGATGGTCACAAACTGACTGTAATTACATGAGGAGGTATAGCTAATAATGTTTGTTTAAATACTAAATCATGTTAGAATTAGTTTAGTTACTGAATAAATGCTAAAATTGCTTTGGTTAATTTCTTGCATGTTTTTTTAAATTATTTTTTCAGTCGTACATTTTAGTGTCCATAAAAGTTATAATCCTACAATCCATATTTGCATTACAAAATATAACAAGCTACACAACAAAATACAGTTATCAAAAATATAATTGTTCAATGAATGACTTGTTTTTAAAGGTCTAAGTTTTATCGAATTCGGTCTAAACCTTAAAAGTATGATTCCTAGCTGTATATATTATAGTTCAGATATTTTAATGTGCTTTTTTCTGAATAAGTAAACAGAACTAGAAAACATCTGATTAATGTGAATCTGAATGTTTTTATGCTTACTGATGTTAACAGCCTTCACAAAGTTTCCATCCATTTTTTTAACTAATTGCAGCCTAATCTCATCATTTCTCAAGCTGCAGTGATTCTGCAGAACTTTTCTGTCAGGGCAAAAAGAAAATGTCCCCTCCTACAGAGGTGACAGGCTTTAACAGATGGCAGCACAGAGAGAGACCGGTGTACGCGCCCCGGCTCTGTTTCACAGACCTCCAAATAAACATCATCCTAAAAATAAGTTTTTAACTTGCTTGGCTCCGACTTCCCTCTCTGCACCCCCTCCCTCCTTGTGCCTTCATCTCTTGCTTTTCTTCCACTGTTCTGTCCCACCRTCAGTCTTTTGCTGTTTTATGACGATGGAGGATTTGTTACGGCCAAAAACTTTCAAATGTACCCTCTAGTGTTTTTGTTTTTCACRATGAGCCAGAGAACATGGAGTCAGAACCTGTGGCATATTTATGATATGTTTATCTATGAAGATAATGTTTGCGTCATGTGTTTACTGTAAGTCTAATTAAAAAAAACATAAAGACTATGATGCTACTGAAAGAGAGGGAGATCCAGATTAMCAGACTACTTGAGTGGGATACCAAAAATAAATTCTTAAGTTTAAAATCTGACGTAAAAAACTCCTCAACTCTACCCTTTTGTCGCTTCACACCTGCCAGTATTTCCTGCTAAAAATGGCTTTGAACAAACCTAATAATCTTCAAAGCAGAGAAAGCTTTCAGCCTTAACCACTCCAYCTCCCAGTGGGAATAAGTCATGGTACTCTGTGGCACTTCTCGGCATGTAAAATCTAGCTTAAGGAGCTGATATCAGCCCATAAATATAGCCGGTGCATCATTTTGCCGTGTAATGAATATGAAAGGAAAGCCTGGCGGCACCTGTTGTCTCYTCTATCCTTGAGGTTTCAGTGGAAAAAAAAAAAAAAAAAGGCCGACCACCATTTGATGCGGTAGTAAAGTGTTTGTCAACACACACAGTGATGCCGAACTCGATACCGCACATTTTGAAATGATGTGTGTGTGCAGATGTCTGAACTGCACATTTTAACACTGGTTTATTTTTATCGTAAAGCGCCTTCCCTGGATTGTGAAGTTAATTCTTCGTGGCTTGATTTGGGCACAGAGTTTTTAGTGTAGGAGCAGAAATTGGTGTGAGGTAATGGGTTCAGTGTTGGAGGTGATGATGGAGGAATCCTGGTCCTTCAAAGCAGCTGCAACTTTAGAAATAAGGGCTTATCTATCTATCTATCTATCTATCTATCTATCTATCTATCTATCTATCTATCTCCATACATATGGAAGAAGTAGATGAGATCAAGAATTCATAAAGGATTTGACGTCTGACGCAGTGGCACTGGACTAATAACTGGAAGTCGAGCACACTTGCACAAATCAGGCTCACTTAGTGTTTGAAGATGACCTCAGAGGACTGGGGCTACGAGAACACCTGGATTGGAGACTTTACCGTAGCATCTYGAACCAATCGATCAAGCAAAAGCAAAATGTCAACACACACAGAGAAGTTCACCAGGGGGACTAAAGTAGTCTTGGGTTTCACATTGTTAAAGAGTTCAGCTGCTATCTGACCAAGTGAGCGTCTTTGCTGCTCGCTGCAGCTCATGCTCGCTATAAACTATAAATATCCATGACAGAGTTATCAGCTGCCTYACTGTCTGTCTCAGCTGATCTTGTWAGAAAATTGTAATTGCATGGTGYTTTAAACATGAAACCCATGTGAGGAGGTTCTGGTTACAGTGTATTGTTGCATACATTGATGGGAAACATTAATATTTTTGCATTAATCTCTTGATGAAATCATTCAAAATTAGGCATGAAGCTAATTATCCGGATTATTTTTAATTAGCCTAAATGTGTAGAACCTTATGTAAAACCATGTTTGTATTTCTTTATAAATGAAATGACGTAATCCAATTTAARTGAAGTCATTTGATATTTCTAAGCAGATTATTTGCTTTTGTTTTTCTAGATGTGAAGGTTTATATCTATAGTGAAAATGCTCAGCTTCTATTAAAAGTGCATTTTGCTGCAGTAGCTTTTTCATGTTATAAGTCACAATTTAAATGAAACTCAAAGACAATCTGTGATTAATAGCCATTAGATTCATTGGACACTGTGAAGCTGAGAAACTTAAAAAAAGGAAAGCTGTTAAAATAAGCAATCAAGTTGAAGTGGTGCTTGTATCCACTCAGCTGAATGTAATGTCCCTCTGTGTGAGCGAGGACAGGTCTGAGTGTGCTGCATAATTAAATCTGTTTGTGTTTAATCTGATTTTTGCACTCAAAGAACTCAGACCGTTTGATACAGCCAGACAGAATCATTGATCCGTCTTCGTCCTGATGCTACCCAGGCACACTCAGTGTACAGAAATAGTGAATTGCGTTCAAGTTTTCGCCTTTTRTTTCTTACTGAATAACAGCTAGATGTCTGAGCATTTTGCAGACTCACTAAAAACTTATTTCAACATTGTAGCGTAAAGATTCATCCTAAAATCACWGACATTTATTTATAGGCTAAAACYAAAGCTRCAGGACTGATGCTGAAAACTTAAGRTTTTTAAATATCCAAGTTGTAATTTGTGCCAGTTWAATTATCACAAGAAGGAAATATGACGATTTCTATTTATGCTTATAAAAAAAAGGAAGAGTCATTTCTTTTTTTATATGAGCTCAAGAGCATCTTGGATTATCGGTTAATCCTCATCAGTGGAAAGTGAAGAACTTATTTGTTTCATTAGATTTGATCCTCGTTTTCTGACTCAGTTTGAAGAAGCACTTTAAATTTCTCCCATAATTCACTGCCAGGCTCACACGATATACCCTGCTGAGGTGATCCACTTGTTATGTTTTCTTTCAACATAAAAACAAGTTCCTTAAATTTCATTGTAGTTATTCTTTTATGTAGATGTTAAACATTTACAGCTGTTTGCAATTGTAAGCTTAATTTAGTAGAAAACTATGACCTTATCGTATTTTATAAGTGCTTCACTCCAGTAGCTTCCTGTGTTGTAAAATGATCAAATATTTACCTTTTGCCAAACTTTTAAAAGTTTTAGATTCTGGTGAACAGTGTCGGATGGCGTTCATAAGTGCTGCACGGTGTTTCAGTATGACGAGCTGCGTGTAGAGAGCATCAGAACGAGGGTCTGCGTAAGTGGAGAGGTGGAGGGCCTGCACTCAGATCAAATAGCTGTTGCTATTCCAGAAGTTGTGTCCATGTAAGGAGGCTTCTATAAACTGCTTTAGTGCAAGCACAGGGGTCCTGGGAGGCTGGAGAAAAAGCCTGAGGATATACGTTTG